AGGGCGCCCCCTGGACAAGACACGCACTCACACGTTTGCGTGTCGGGGAGCCATGGCAGCTTGGCTGCCGCACGGGGCTGTTCCACGTGGTTCCAGGTGAAGGCACCAGAAAAGGGGAGGCGGACAGGCCCGGACCCGGTAGGGCAGGTCCCCGAGATGAACCGAGGACGGAAGCCAAGGCCCGGGGTGCAGGGCCCCGTGCTACCCAGAGGAGAAGCACGACCCCGAGGGGCTGAGCCAGAGGAGCGAGCCCGCTCCTGGGGGAGCCCTGGCCTCGAGCAGCCAGGGGCCCACCCCTCGGTGCCCGGCCAGTGAACTCAAGGAAAGGAGCTAGACAGAGAGCATGCTCCTGAGCCCCAGCTCGCCCCGGCGGGACTGACCGCGGCGCCACGGCCCGCTGGCTGCTGAGCCTGGTCCTCCTATGGAGGGTCACAGCGGCGGCTGGAGCAGCTCGGTGGACGGCGGTGCACAGCCCCCAACACCGGGACGGCAGGCCTGGAAGAAGTCCCTCTGCCCTGTCCCCGGCCTCTCCTTCACAGTGAGTGGCCGGTCACGCCCTCGGTGAGTGAGCGCTGAGGCCGCCTGTGGCCTTGCACCCGAGCCTCGGACCCGAGCCAGAGCCTTGCAGGTGCAGCGTTGCGCTGGCCTCGCCGCCCCGGGAGCTCCATCCGGTCTCAGACGGCAGAATCGGCCTCTGCCCACCCGTCATGGCTCAGTGCTGGTGACGCCCTTCTCCCCGGAGCTGGCCCCGGGGCAGGCCTTGCCAGCTCTGCCCCACCGCCGTGGTGCCAGGCTTGAGGCCGAGGGTCCGGGGTGGCCGTCTCGGACAGCTTTCTCTCCCGCCACCGCTGGCCTGGGACACGCAGATGCGGAGAACTGAAGCCCAGACTGCAGTGGCCCGAAGAGGCCGACTTGGAAAGCCTGACGATTCAGCCTCCCCCCGACCTCTCACAGCCCTGTGTCCTCTCCCAAGGCTCAGCCAGGGTCACCCAAGACCGGCGGCCCCCGACCTGCCGGAGCTGGAGCGGGTGCCTAAGCGACATTTTGGCGGGTGAAGAATCATCCCAGCACCTCTACCATCCCAACAGAAAAATAAGATACTGAACTAAGTGGGGTCATTAGCCAACGTTTGCTGAGCACCTGCTGTGTGCTAGGCCCCTAGAAAGGGAGAGAGACCACAGCCAGGGGCTGACGGGGTCCCCTGGAAAGCCCTCAGGTCACAGAGAGAAAGCCGGGGGTGGGCAAGGCAGAGCCCAGCACTCCTCAGAAGGCCGTCCCTCCCCGGGCACCACCCAGGCCCCCTGGTGAGGACGGAGGGCGAGCAGGGCAGACAGAGCTGGGGACAGGGGTCTGCATTCCAAGGACACTGCAGAAGCGACATCCGGCCGGGCCCCACGTGCAGCCACCCTTCTCGTGGGCAGACGCCAAGGCTGCTGGCCTCGGGAGCCCGGCCACCTGCTCGGGATGGTGTCTCTGCCCCCAGTAGTGCCCGCTGCCTGTGCCTCCTCAGCAGAGCTCCAGCAGGGAGCTTCCTCTCGTCCCCCAGGAGCCCCATTTTTACCTCCCTGCTCCATGCTTGGAAGTTAGTCAGCCTGCAGACTGCATCTCCTACCAGCCAAGGCCTCTTCTTCACCCGAGATACACACGGTGGCAGCCCAGCCCTTCGGACCAGGGCGGCCAAAGCGAAGGACTTGGTGTTTGAGAGACGCTGCCCGGAGCCCGACCTCCCACGGCTGCGGCTCAGCCCCCAGGACGCCAGCCCCTCCTGGAGTCAGCCCCAAGTCCTGAGCAGCCACTGTGTGCCAGACACAGACACGAGCTGCCGTCAGCCTTGCCCCCCTGGGTGCTCTTGGAGAGGGCGCCAGCAGGGGTGAGGCACCCCCACCCCAGGGCCCAGACAGCGTGGCCATGCCACACCCCGCACAGCAGCCCCCACGGAACAGGACCCCTCATTCCTGAGGACCGCCCCCCCCCCCCAGAGCTGGAGGGGACTCTGAAGTTCTCCGTAGGTCCCAAGTCTCCAGGAAGGGCGGGAGGTCCTCCGACACCCTTGCCCGGTGGCTCTAGGTTCTGCCTTGCACCGTCTGCCCACACGGTGCCCTGTCCCTGGGGGGTGGGGGCAGCCAACCTCGTTTTTCAGACATGGAGCTGGAGACCCTGGGAGGCCAGGTGACTGCGTGAGGCAGTCATCCACGGAAGTCAGAACCCAAACCAAGCCCACCTGACCCGGGAGCTGGTGCTGAGTTCTACTGGCCGGTCAGCCCTGGCAATGCAGTGACCGGGGGCAGGGGTGTGAAGGGCAGAGAAAGGAGAGCACGGAGGGTTGCGAGTGGGGGCTTAGTCCCTCCGGAAACAGAGCTGAAGCTCATTCAGAGAAAGATGGGCCCCTCTGCCTTCTCCCTGCAGGACGCTCACATCCACGTGAACTTGAGCCCACAGGGTGTCAGGCCACGACGCTCACCCTGAGGTTCCTGCTGGTTCCAGCCCAGGCCCTGCACAGCCCCCTCCACTAATGTCCCCTCTTACAGGCCCCAACACACGCTCGTCAGATACTGTCCTTCGGCCAGCCGCAGTGTGGTGAAAAGTCGGAGTGAAGACAAAGCTGGTGATGCCAAGCATTTCGTTGTTCAGTCCAAAGGCCACACAGATCGGGGACGTCTTAGTCCACGGAGGTTAGAACCCTGGCGAGTCAGAGAAGATGCCGTGCACACGGCTCCCCCAGGAGAGCAGTGCACCCTGTGCGGGGACCAGAGCTGACGCCCCGCGGCCTGCCCAGGCTGTGCGGGTGGTGCTCACCGCGGAGGGCAGATGCCAGCACAGCCACATTTTCCTTCCAGTTCCCTTCGAATGTTTTCTCCATTATGTTCATACATATGCACGTAATTAAACATTTGTGAAAATAATTCTTATAATAAACAGAAAATGAACTTAAATATTGCTCCATTCTCTCATTCATCAGAGGTCACGCTGTGAGGGCAGAGACCAAAGGTAACTGAAATCTGCACAGAAAAAAACATCTCTGGGAGTGTGGCGTGGCCCGTGGTCAGATTTCACAGCAGTCTGGAACCCTAAAGACTAATAGCCATGACTCTCCTCAATAACGTGGAGAACCTTCCGGCACCACGCATTCCACAGGAGGAAATACAATTTTATAAAGGATGTTAACATTCCAAATGAGGTGTAGTAAACACCAGCTTTGTCTAGGTTTAACACAGTGATTTAAATGTGTAAAGAAACTTCTGGGAAAATACCCAAAAGAACTGAACGCAGTCTCGAAGAGATATTTCTTGTGCTGATGTGAAAAGCCAAACCATCACCAGTAACTCGTTGGCTCTGCTGGCTAAGGAATGTCCAGTTGACACCAATTTATATCATGGTCATCAGTTGCATTTTTTTCCATCCAATTCATGGGACCAAAATTAAGCTATCAGAAGTTCATTCCTCCCAAAGTGAAAAACTATCATTATTGTGAATGCTTGTCAGCTAAATTCAGTTAAAAAGTTGAACAATGAAGGGCTTTTTTTTTGCGATGATAATACTCATATAAAACTGGATGGGGCCCAGGCCAGAGGGACTAACATTCTTAGAAAATTAATAACCCAAACGAGCAGCAAGGCATTGGGAACTGGATGTGGTTGCTAATTTCATCCACACAAGCTGTAAAATTACATGAATTGAATTAAAAATCATAGTTGTCAAAATGTTACAATTTTTTTTTAATCCTCACTCAAGGATATGTTTTTATTTTTTATTTATTTTATCCTCACCCGAGGACATTTTTGGTTCAGATAGAGTGGGAGGGGGAGAGAGAGAAACATCGACGTGAAAGGGACACATCGAGTGGCTGCCACCCGCACGGCCGGGGACAAACTGCAACTGAGGCACGTGCCCCTCACGGAACCGAACCCGGGTCTCTCTGGACCGCAGGCCGACGCTCCAACCGCTGGGCCAAGCCGGCCAGGGCAGTTCTTATTTATTTTTTTAGAGAGAGAGGGAGAGGGAGAGGGAGAGGGAGGAAAACATGAACGTGAGAGAAACATCCACTGGCTGCGTCCCATCCGGGCGACCCGGGATCCAACCCTCAGCCGAGGCAAGCGCCCTGATCAAGAATCCAACCCGCGACCCTTCGGTCTTTTTCAGTCTTGAACTACAGGCTTTCGGGACAAAGCGATGTGAGGCACAAAAAGGAAAGTAGTTCCGCGCGGCAGGGACCCGCACGGCTGGAGGCCGCAGCTGGAGCCTCTGCAGCCCACGGTGTCCTGGCCGCCGGGCACTGCCCACATCTCGTCCGCGCCCCCGCGGCGGTGTGATCGGTCCTGCCGGGCGCCTTCGCCCTTCTCTCAGATCGCGGGGAGGGCGGGGAGGCCGCGAGTGGGCTGCCACCCGCGCCCAGGCGGCGCCCTTGCCGGACTCACCCCGGGCTCTGGTCCGCGGGCGACGCTCTGACCGCGGAGCCACCCGCCAGGGCCAGAGACTGACTTCTGAGATCCTGGAGTTACACCCGGAAATGCTTTCCAAAACCTCAGCTCGTAAGGAAAACCTTCCCGTTTTAGCTGCATCGAGGTCACGCCGAACCTAAAAGGGCGGAAACGGAAGAGGCGAAGCGGAGGCTGGGGCGCCCCTCCACCCCCGGGGCGGCAGCCCCGTCCCGCCAGCGTCGCGGGCCTCAGTTTCTCGTCCGCACAGTCTCTTCCGGGTCCCACCGCGGCAAAGCCCCGCTCCCGGCATCCCGCGCGGCAGCCGCGTGCGCGCGAGGAAGCACCGCCCCCACCGGGCACGCGTGCGCACGCGCCGGCAGCGCCGAGCCATACTCGCGCCCCCGCCCGCGCAGGCCCACGCGACCGCGCACGCGCACTCGTGCACCTCGGGCGGCCGGGCCGTCGGGCTCCCGGGTCCCGCCCTTCGGCCTCGCGCCCCGGCGGTGGGCGGGGCCGCGGAGCGCTCGGGCGGAGGGCGGGGCGGCGGCGCAGGCGGGCGGGCCGGGCTTGGTGCTGGTGGAGGCGCCATGGAGGCGGACGCGGGGCCGGTGCAGATGCCGGCGCCGAGCTCGGAGCAGGGCCCGGACCCCGAGGAGGGCGCGCAGGCCCTGGCCGAGTTCGCGGCGCTGCACGGCCCGGCGCTGCGCGCGTCGGGGGTCCCCGAGCAGTACTGGGGCCGCCTCCTGCACAAGCTGGAGCACGAGGTGCGGGCCGGGGCGACGCGGGGAGGTCGAGGCGCAGGGCCGGGAGCACCGGGGTGCAGAGCGGGCCCTGGGCGCGCGGGGGCGGCCCGCCCCGGACCCTTCCACCGAGAAGGGAGTGGGCTGCGGGCCTGTCCTTGGCCCAGAACCGTGGGTTTAGCAGCTGGGAGGCCAGCTGGGTCCACCTGGGGAAGGCAGGGAGGCCTCACGGAGGACACGTGCGGATGAAGTTGGCGCGTTCGGGGGAGCTCTTGGTTGCAGGAACCGGGAGCCTGTGCCCAGCCGGGCAGGCCTCCGTGAGACGCACAGGGGTGTCTCTCGGGGAGTTCAGGCCGTGATGACCGACTAGACTTTGCCTCCTTGACAGTTTAGGAGTGTCCAAAGCCTGGGGCCTAAGAGCGGCTGCCAGGGCCCAGGACCTGTGGCCCGGTCCTGCCAGCACCTGGGGCTGGGCCAGGGCTGCGGGGGAACCTGGAACTAAAGGGAACCTTGGCTTCTGTTGTGTGCCAGGCCCCGAGCTGACTTTTCCACCTCCAAGCTCCACAGCAGCCCTGGGAGGAGTAAGTCATCGCTCCCATTATCCAGTTTTGAAAACTGAGTCTCAGGAAGAGGAAGGTCTATCAGACTTAAGAACTGGAAGCTTTCAGCCACTGTCTCCCTCGGAGAAGAGGAGCCCCATGAATTTGTGTGGCTTTAATTGTTTGGATCATAAGTTTTTTTCATGTTCCCCATTTGACTTGAGCCTGCCTCACCCTCATTTTGCAGATTAAAGAAAACAGTCTGGGGGAGAAGAGAACAAGTCTAAAGAAAAATGAAAAGGTCTTAGATGTTTGTAGGTTCTTCCCTTTTGTGGGAGCAGCTCCGTTCTGCTCACCAGCTGCTCTAGCCTGAGCCTCCAGAGGGCTCCCGGTGGGTCCTGACCGGAGTGGGCCCTGCTTTGGGGTAGTGTTTCCAGGTGCAGAGCACTTTCCCCCGCCAGCTAGTGGGTCCTTCTCCTTAGTTGGAACCAGGCTTGTCTTCAGGGGGCTGCCTCCTGGGGCCGAGGCAGACTAAGCAGTGTAGGTGATGAGGGGGAACCCCAGAGCCAGGCAGAGCATCCCCTGGACAAACTCCTCCTTCCCAGTCATTTTCTCTGTCTGTAAAATTGGGGTTGGACAAGGTACCTTCCTGCTCAAAACTTAGGTAGTTGCCTTTTTAAAAAAGTTACAGCCCTGGCCGGTTTGGCTCAGTGGTTAGAGCGTCGGCCCGCAGCCCAGAGAGACCCGGGTTCGGTTCCCGCTAAGGACGTGTACCTCAGTTGCAGTTTATACCTGGCCCTGGTTGGTCGTGCGGTTGGCAGCCACTCAATGTGTCCCTTTCGCGGCGATGTTTCTCTTCCTCTCTCTCCCTCCCACTCTATCTGAACAAGACGTGGAAAATGGAAAATGTCCTCAGGTGAGGATAAAAAAAAAAAGATACAATGGCCCTGGCCAGTTTGGCTCAGCGGTTAGAGTGTTGGCCTGCGGTCCAGAGAGGCCCGGGTTCGGTTCCCACTAAGGGCACGTACCTCAGTTGCAGTTTGTCCCCGGCCCTGGTTGGGTCATGCAGGTGGTAGCCACTCTGTGTGTCCCTTTCACGTCGATGTTTCTCTCTCTCCCCCTCCCACTCTATCTGAACAAAAAATGGAAAAATGTCCTCGGGTGAGGATAAAAAAGACACAATGTCAACAGCAGACAGTACATACCTATCTTTTGTAACTGAATTTCCTGCACCGGAATGACTTACCCTCAATTCCGCTTGCATTTCCTGAGCACTTGCCCTGGTTCCAGGCCTGTGCTGGGGTGGGAGGGGACCCCAGCCGTTTGTGAGTAAGGATACAAAGGTCCTCGTGTGCTGGGCGAAAGGAGCACCATGTGGGAGCCCTGCCTCAGCCCAGCCGGCCTCCAGCCGGCCCCCGCGGGCAGTAAGCCCTGCCGTGGGTGAGTCACTCACCCAGTGGGGCCTCCCTGGCCAGGTGGTCCAATTGGTTGGAACGTCATCCCATACAACAAAAGGTGTGGGTTCAATTCCCGGTCAGGGCACATACCTACAATGTGGGACTGACCCCCAGTCAGGGCAAGTACGAGAGGCAGCCACATGTCAGATCTGTGTGTGTGTGTGTGTCCGTCCCCCTTCACCCTCTCTAAAATCAATCAAACATATCCTCGGGTGAGATTAAAAACAACAACCGTAGAAAGCGGGAATCTTGGCAGGGAGGGGGTAGGGAGGCAGGCGTTAACTGTCAGCCAGTGCCCAGCACATAGTGGGCAGTCACCAGGCTGGAGTGTCCCCTCCGCGGCCAGTGTTTTTCCACGGCCCTCCCTCGCCATCCTGAGTTACGGGCAGAGTTGTGAGTCACCGCTTGGCCTGACCCACCCTGCAGTCATTGTTCCAAGGAAAACCTGCTGCTGCTCTGGACCAGGTGTGGGAGCGGGCACGCGCCAGCCGCATGGGCACCTGCCCACAGGAACGGGCCTCGAAGGGAAGGTTCCCTTGGAAAGGCTGGGGAAGTGCTTTAAAATGAGTTTCCACTCTTCTATCTGCACAAACTTCCCAGTTCACCGTGGAGGGAGGGATTGTGCTCACGCCCACTCCACAGCTGGGAGAAGCCAGCCAGGCAGGCCCTGGACCCCCAGGCTTTATGCTGCCCCCACTGTGCACCCTCCCTCCTGTCAGGCTTGGGGGTTTGGGGTGCTGGGTTGAAGCCCCAGGTGTGACACCAGCCCTGCGGACCACTTTTCGAACCCCGGACTCCGCGAGGGTTAAAGGAGAACACAGAAAGTCCCTGAGCTCCCCTTGTCTTTGGAGGAACGTGGTCTCCACAGCCCCCAGCTTCTCTGCTCCCTGCCTGTCCTTTCACCCCCACCCCAGGCATGTGTTTATGGCCCCCCCCCCCCCCGGCGCCCACCTCTGACTGTGTCTCCTCCATGAAGTCTTCCCAGGCCCTCCAGGTCCAGCACCACCTACCTGGTCCTCTCAACGCCTGCTTCCCTCTGCCCCTTGGCGTCAGCTCTCTGGGCAAGATCCCTAGCCGTTCACCCTCACACCCCCAGAACCTGCGCCGCCTGGCACGCGGACGCCCCCTGCGCCCCGGTAGCGAGCTGGTCTCCAGCTGCTGGGATGGATCTTGCTTCTGTTTTTAATCGTCGTGGAAATAGGTTTTAGGGAGGAACTGGCCTTGGGTGAGTCCCCGCCGTGTGCCGGCAGTTTCTGTGCACTGTCCTGCCGACCTGAGGCTCCTGGAAGGTGTCACTCCCGCTGCCCAGGTGAGAGGCCTCAGGTGGCGTGACGGCAGCAGGTGCTGGGGCATTTGCCAGGCTCAGGCTCTTTTTTTTTTATCCTCACCCGAGGACATTTTTCCATTTCTGGTACAGATAGAGCGGGAGGGAGGGAGAGGAAGGGAGAGAGAGAGAAACATCGATGTGAAAGGGACACATCGAGTGGCTGCCACCCGCACGACCAACCAGGGCCGGGGACAAACTGCAACCGAGGTACATGCCCTTAGCGGGAACCGAACCCGGGTCTCTCTGGACCACAGGCCGACGCTCTAACCACTGAGCCAAACCGGCCAGGGCCAGGCTCAGGCTCTTTATGTGTGTGAATCATTAACCCTCCCATCAGCCCTCTGAGGTAGGTCCTAGCATGGCACTTGTATGGATGGGGAAACCGAGGCACCGCGTGGTTAGTGACTTGCTCGAGGTCACATAGCAGCTGGCGCACACAAGGAGGCCCACTCGGTCTCTTCACCGGCTGCCCGTGGCGGCAGGGGTTCTCTGCCAGGGAAACTCAAGGCCCTGATCTGCCTGGCCCAGCCGGCCTGGCCCTCAGGACACGCCCAGGTCACGCGTCATGCAGGCCTGGGCTGCTGCTTGGCTGGGCCGGTGCAATGGCCACAGGAGGCGCTCAGTCCCCTATTTCCCTCGGTTGCCTCAGCTGCCCTGGTGTTTGATTGGTTCTTCTGGGAAGAGCAGAATTGGGGCGAGATCCCTGGCCACCGAGGTCTTCCGTGTACTCCCAGTGTGACCAGAGCCACCCCTCTGCCTCTTGGGCCTCATGTTCCCTGTAAAGCAAGGGCCAGAGTGGACGTTCGGATACGTGGGTGCAGGCCCATGTCTAAGCACGGGTGCTGCAGGACAGGTTCGGTCCCGGTTCTGATTGTTCGTCAGGAGCCTCAGTTTCCCCCCCTGTGAAATGGGTGGTCAGGTGATCCGTAGGCCCTGCTTCTCCTGAGGGGTTTAGTTTGACCTGGAGGCCGGGAGGGGGAGGCCGGGCGGTGGTGAGGCTCCAGGTCGGGCACCTGCCGACGCCCGTGCTGTGGCCCCAGGTTTTCGACGCGGGGGAGATGTTCGGGATCATGCAAGTGGAGGAAGTGGAGGAAGAGGAGAGTGAGGAGGAGGCAGCACGGGAAGCCCACAGGAAGAAGCCCAACCCGGGCAGCGAGCGCTGCTACAAGGTCATCGTGACCAACGAGAACGGGCTCCAGGCGGCCAACCCCAACAGGTAGGGGGACCTCCGCACGGTGGCTGTCAGGCCAGGCTCCCTCTCGGAGAGAGCTCACCGAGGCCGCCGGCACGGGGGAGCAGCCCTGTGTAAGATACCTGACACAGAGCAAATGCTACGTGAACGACTGCTGTGTCATCGAGGGAACGGCCAGGACAGGTCTGCGTGTGTCCATGTGCGTGCAGCCCTCGTCGGCCTGCCTAGTACCTGACAGCGGCCACGGAACGTTTCTCAGGTGTTTGTGTTTTTTTTTAAATCTTTATGGTTGGATGTAAAATGTATTACAGATGTTCCACATTTTTCCCCCATTGACCCCCCTCCTCCCCCCTCCTGTCTCCCTCCCACCTTTTCCCACACTATTGTCTGTGTCCATTGGTTATGCATATAAGTTCTTTGGTTTATTTCTTCCCACCCCAACCCCCTTCCCTTTGAGGTTTGTCAGTCTAGCAATGAATTTGTACTTCTTAATCCCTTCACCTTTTTCACCCATTCCCCCAACCCCCCTCCCATCTGGCAACCAACAAAATGTTCTCTGTATCTATGAATATGTTTCTGTTCTTCCTGTTCATTTTGTTTGTAGATTCCATTGTTGATAGATATGTATTCATTGCCATTTTGTTTGTTCATACATTTTATCTTTTTCTTCAAAAAGACCCTTCATCATTTCATATAATAACGGTTTGGTGGTGATGAACTCCTTTAACTTTTTCTTGTCTGGGAAAGTTTTTATATGTCCATTGATTCTAAATGACAGCTTTGCAGGATAAAGTAATCTTGGTTGTAGGTTCTTTCTTTTCATCACTCTGAATATTTCTTGCCACTCCCTTCTGTCCTGCAAAGTTTCTTCTGAGAAATCAGCTGTCAGCTGACAGCCTAATGGGAACTCCCTTGTAGGTAACTAGCTGCCTTTCTCTTGCTGCTTTTAAGATTCTCTCTTTGTCTTGAGAACCTTTTGCATTTTGATGATGATGTGTCTTGGTGTGGGCCTCTTGGGGTTCATCTTGTTTGGGACTCTCTGTGCTTCCTGGACTTGTATGTCTGTTTCCTTCACCAAGTTAGGAAAGTTTTCTGCCATTATTGTTTCGAACAGGTTTTCAATTTTTTGTTCTCTCTCTTCTCCTTCTGGCACCCCAAGATGCGAATGTTGGCACGCTTGAAGTTGTCTCAGAGGCTCCTTACACTATCCTCATTTTTTTGGATTCTTTTTTCTTTTTGCTGTTCTGGTTGGGCGTTTTTTGCTTCCTTATATTCCAAATCGATGGTTTGCTCCTTGGATTTACGTACTCTATTATTGAAGCTGTGTAAATTATTCTTTATTTCAGTTAATGCCTCCTTCAATTCTGACTGTGTATCCATGATTTCTGACTGGTCCTTTTTTATGCTCTTGAGGCCCTCATTAAGTTCACTGAGGTTCTCACTAAGTCCATTGAACATCCTTATAAGCAGTATTTTGAACTCAGTATCTGTTAGGTTGCTTATCTCCATTTCGCTGAGTTCTTTTCTTGGGGTTTTGTTCTGTTCTTTCATTTGGGACCTGTTTCTTTGTCTCCTCATTTTGGCTGCCTCCCTGTGTTTGATTCTGTGTATTACTTAACGAGCGGTATGGGGCTAGCTGAGACCCGATGCTGCTCGTTTGAAAGAATTTAGGAAAAACTTGAAGCAGGATCCAAGACAGGCCAATCCTATGGTTAAGCAAGTGGCAACAGCTTGGGTGGGCCTGAAAGTTGGGTGGGGTGGGGTAGGGTGGGGCGAGGCAGGGCCTCAGGGAATCACCAGGGCGGGGCTCCCAGTGTGAGCCAGGTTGCTGGAGTCTCAGATATGCTGGCTGTCTGCTGCCCCAGGGAAGGGCTCACCAAAGGAACAAAGGCCTCTGACAGCACATTTGTCCAGGAGAAAGCCCCCTCTCCAGCCCTCGCTTCAGTAACAAACAGCTCAGTTCTTCCCTGTGTGTCTCTGGCGCCCCTCGAGCTGCCTCCCCTCTGAGCTTAGAGGGAGAGAGTCTGATACATCCATGCGCGGGCCCTTTAAGGAGCTGCCTGGGGCTCCAGCCGCCTCAGCCTCCCTGAGCCTCAGTTCCCGCTGGTTTTCCAGCCAGAAGTTATGGGAACTCTCTTCCTGGCACTGGAACCCTGAGCGGGGCACCTGGTGTGGGACAGGGACCCCTTAGTCCTCAGGGAGGACCATCCCAGCCGAGGTGTCCTCCTGATTTTTATCCACCACACGTGGGTGTGGGACCAGCCCGTCCGCTCCGCCCCTCCTACCTGTCTCAATGCGGCGGCTGCTTTAATTCCGTAGTTGTAGGACTTCCATTCAGCTTGATTTCAGGCGGTTTTGAATGATGGTTGTTCTGTAGTTTAGTTGTAACTTTGATGTGGTTGTGGGAGGATGCGATACCGCGGTTACCTCCCCACCACCTTGACCGGAAGTCCTCTCGGGTGTTTTTGATCTGAAGTTGGTTGAAACCTCTGCATGCAGAGGCCGACTGTATAAGCCCAAAAGCAGAAACACTGCCAGACTTGACACCCAGACGAAGACCTGGGACATTTGCTGCTCCTTTCGTTGTAGCAAGGGAACAGGTGAGGCCGCTTTGGCCACCTGTGTGGGGTCGGTGTCGGGGCAGCCTGTCCTGAGGGCAAGAGGGCGGCTCGGCCTCGTCCTGCCCCGCAGCCCCACGCGGTGCCTGAGAGCTGTGCAGCCCCCCAGGCTCCTCCAGGGAGACGGTGTGCGGGCTGCAGGTGTCCATTTGTGTGGCAACTTGGGGCCTGTCCCGAAGAAAGGCCTTGGCGCTTCCAGGAAGTGCCCAGAGGTCCCAGCGAGCGTGAGGAGCTCCGGGCCAGCTCCTCCTCACATCTGCCTGCAGCTGTGCCCCCCCCCCCCCGGCGGTGCAGCCTTTGCTTCTGCTGAGCTGCGTGGGCCAGGCTGGGGGCAGGGGCAGAGTCCCGCCGGGACACTTAGGGGATTGCTGTACTCATCAGAGAGCACAGGAACTCGGGGCGCAGGCAGCACCTTGTACGTCCCGTCCCGTTTGATTGAGGCTGTCAGCCGGTAGCAGGATGTAGGGCCCTGCTGTCCTGTTTCAGAAACTGGAAGAGGGAGAGGACTGTGCCTATGGCCACACAGTGAGTGGTCGGCAGAGCCCAGCTCCCCACCCAGGCCCACTGGTGCTGGGGAGACCACGTCTTGGGCTGGGTGCTGATCTAGGCCACAGCCCCGGTCCCCTCCTCGGGGTGGCTGCCACTTCCCCTCTGGCTGTGCCCTTGTGGCAGCCTCATGCGCCCGTGGCCTGTGCCTGCAGCATCTTCCTCATCGACCACGCGTGGACGTGCCGCGTGGAGCATGCCCGCCAGCAGCTGCACCAGGTGCCTGGGCTGCTGCACCGCATGGCCAACCTGATGGGCGTCGAGTTCCACGGCGAGCTGCCCACCGCCGAGGCCGTGGACCAGGTGCTGGAGGAGATGTGGAAGTTCAACCAGACCTACCAGCTGTCCCACGGGGTGAGTGGGCAGCTGGCCCCAGGGGAGAAAGAGGACAGACACGGACACGGGCCTTCACTGCCCCGGGCAGTCAGGGCTAGCGGGGGGATGGGGTGCGGCCGGGAGAGTCTTGGCCCAGCGGGGCCTTTTCCCCACAAGTGAACCCCTGCTCCCGTGGCCCATTGAAACCCCGTCATTCCCTATGGCTTCATCCTGGGCCTGTTCCCCTGCCTGGGATCAGCCAATGCCAGGGACCCAGGGGTCTGTGCAGCCTTTAAGCTCACAGGACACAAGCCCCTCTGACCCCTGTACTTGGGCTGCCCTTTCCTGGTGCCTTCTGGTCTGGTCGCCTGCCCTTCTAAAGGGCCTCAGTGGTCCTCGCTGCCTTTTTTTTTTTAATCCTCACTCGAGAATATTTTTTCACTGATTTTTAGTTAGAGTGGAAGGGAGGGAGGAGGAGAGAGAGACATTGATGTGATACACATCGATCGGTTGCCTACTGCATGACCCCACCTGGGACCAGGGATCGAACCTGCAACCCAGATACATGCCCTTGACTGAGAATTGAACCCACCACCCTTTGGTCCAAGGGCCGATACTCTAACCACTGAGCACACTGACCAGGGCGGTCCTCACTGTCTTCAGGAGAAGAGATGAGTCCCGTCAGCACGTGTCCTTGGGCTTTCGTCACCCTGCCCCCTGCCTCCCAGACTCACCCTCAGGCTGCCCCCCCACTTTTAGGATGGGAAAGAAGTTGTTTCTCATGATCTCAGCCTCGATGTGACCTCCCCTGAACTACAGGTCTCTGCCCGCTCCCCCACCCATTTTTTGGTCACGCACACCGGACCACACACATCCACGTGACATCCACGTGGCTGCCGGGCTGAGTGCCTGTGTCCATGCACCGCTAGCACACAGGCGGTCACCCTGATGCTGCTGGCCCTTGTCCTGGTCTGCCCCTGGCTCGAGGGCCTGGGAGTCTGTGTGACAGCTGCTCCGTGCTCGGAGAGTTGGGTGGTTGGTGCTGGGTGCGTGGAAGGGACAGGTGGCCGGACCGGTGGACGAGGGCTGTGTGTGCTCTGCCCGCAGACGGCCGAGGAGAAGGTGCCGGTGTGGTACATCATGGACGAGTTCGGCTCTCGCATCCAGCACTCGGACATGCCCAGCTTCGCCACTGCACCCTTCTTCTACATGCCCCAGCAGGTGGCCTACACACTGCTGTGGCCCCTGAGGGACCTGGACACCGGTGGTAAGTCCGACACCTGCCCACCTCGGAGGATGGGCCAGGCCTGGTCTCCTGCCCCGCCGATGAGCTCGCGTGTCCCCGTGCAGAGGAGGTGACCCGGGACTTCGCCTATGGAGAGACGGACCCCCTGATCCGGAGGTGCATGCTGCTGCCCTGGGCCCCCGCCGACATGCCGGGCCTCAGCTCCTGCACGCCCGAGCCGCCCGACGCGCACTACCAGGTGTGACTGCGCCCCGTGCCTGTTCGCCTGGTGGCCTCTGGGTGTCTCCGTTCGGTCACCAGATGTTATTGAGCGACACCCGGCTACTGGGGATGGAGAAGTTTGGGCACATCTGAGAGGCGAGGGGTTCAGGAGAATGTGAGCTGCCTGTGGTCGCACCACTTGGGCGTTGGGCCCAGCCCTGTCCCCAGGGTGCTGGTGCCGGGAGCCGTGCTTTCCCAGGGTCTCCGAGGAGCTGGGGTGCTCGAGGGTCCTGCTCCTCTCCCTCATCCTGGTTCCCTCATCTTCTGACTCCTGACTCCTCCCTCCCCAGGCACGGGGGGCACTGTATCCAAACTCTGTGCAGTGCTGTTTCCCGTGCAGGAGGCCCCAGCAGGTAGCTGCTGGCGGTGGTGTCAGGGACAGCAAAGGTGATTCCAGTCTGAGGGCAGCCTCTCAGTAGGGCCCCGCCCGGACGTAGCCACCCCCCCCTTCCCGAGTGCCTGGCTGGTGGCGAGGGTTAATGCAAGGGTGGGCCAGGCTAGGGAGCCAGGGTTCGTGGGGCCTGGGGTGAGGGGAAGAAATGCAGGCTGCAGGAACACAGAACAGGCAGTGCCAGGCAGGGGTGAGTACCCGGCCCCTTTCCCTGCCCTGCCCTCTGCCGGTCCCAGTGGGAAGCCGGCCGTGGGAGGAGCCTGTGCGCAGCACTTCACGGGCGCACTGCTGAAACCCTAGGACAGCAGGCCTTACCGTCCTAGTTCTACCTTCATTTCACTGAGGGTGAGGGAGCCGAGGCACAGAGAAGTTAAGTAACTTGCCGAAGGTCACACACCTGGTGGGAGAACAGAAGTCCAAAACCAAGGGGACCTGACAGCTTGGGAGCCGAGGCCACACCGCCCTCACTTCCCAGCCAGCTTGAGCCTGCCACTCCTGAGTGCCCCAGAGGCGGGGAAGGGAGTGACAAGCCACGCGGAGTCCGCGTGGGGAGCGCCGTGTGGTGGAGCCGGCCTGAGGGCTGCTGGTGGCGAGCGGCTGGGCAGCGCCAGTCCTGTTGGCCCTTTGCCCCGTGTTCTACGTCATCACCGGCGATTGAGCGAACCATCCCGAAAACTCAGTGATCACCCTTCTTGGCTCGGCGGCGTGTTTCGTGGATGTGCAGAGGCCCGTGCCAGGAGGTGCCCGGCGAATGTTGGGAGGCAGTGCGGAGGAGTGAGGCCCAGGGATGCTGAGGGACCTGCTACGGTTTTGACGTTGTTCAAGGGACATGCATTAAAATGCCCTTTTTTTCTTGGGTTGCCCTCTGCTGGCCAGGAAGAGGAGGCACAAGGCCCAACACTGACATGTCCTGGTGGTTTGAGCCGTCTGACCCGTCAGCATCAGGCCTGGCCTCCGGGCCCTGGCTGCCTGTGTTAGTTATCGCGGGGTGACAGTCACTCCAGCTCCGAACAGCGAGCGTCGTTACCCCACACAGTTCCTGTGGGCCGGGGGTATTCATGGGCCAGGGGTGCCCGTGGGCCGGAGGTGCCCGTGGGCCGGGAGTATCTGTGGGCCGGGGTGCCCGTGGGCTGGGAGGCACAGTCAGGCTGTCGGCCAGGGCCACGTCCTGGGGCCTGGTGGGCGGAGGACCTGCTTCCACGCCTGGCAGGGTGGTGCTGGCTATTAGCCGGACTCCCTGCCTCCCCACAGGGCCTCTCCACAGGCTGCAGGAGTGTCCTCCCGGGGTGCTGCTAACTGCCCTCAGACAGGTGGCCCCAGAGGAGGAAGCTGCAGGGCCTTTGAAGAAGTTGCACCGTTTTCTTCCAGTTTTTACTTTGGAAGCAACTCATTCCGCCCCCACGTGAGGGGCAGTGGATGAAGCTCTTGTGAAGGAGTGTAGAGAGTTGGTGGGCGGGTTTTAAACCCTACACTGTTGTGGCTGGAACAGCCCTGAGGGCTCCCTGGGGCCAGGAGCCCCTCCCAGGGCAGGCTGGGCCCTCAGCCTCCGCGATCAGGAGGGATCTGGAGGGAACACCTCAGCCTCCCGTGATCAGGAGGAAGCACCTCAGCCTCCCATGATTTGGAAGTAGCGTTGAGAAGATTGAGAACGATGTTTACATTGTTTTTTTGACACAAAATGGGCTGTCTAGCACCTGAGGGGCCTTGAGCACCAGACTCCCAGGGTTAGGGGTTCGGAAGGCTCTGGTGAAAGGTTCCACATAAGGTCGGGTGTGCCCCCGAGATCCTAGACCCCGGTGTGCCAGGATGGGGAGGCGCGTGCTCACTGGCTTCCTTTCTCAAAGGTTCCACCTGCCGTGTCTTTCCTTCCAGGCCATTTTGGAGGAAAACAAGGAGACGCTGCCACTGGCCGTCAATCCCGTGGCACATCCCTGTGACCACATCTTCAAGTGCGTAGCCCTTTCTCCACTTCACTGAGACTGTCCCTCAGTCGCTATGCTCACACCCCCTCCAGGTCCCGCGGCTCCCAGAACAGTGCCCAGCACGGGGAGGGCTCAGTGGGTCCGCTCTGTCTCGGTGGCGCTGCTGTGACCACACTGCCAGAGGGGGGCTCCTAGGACAGAGAACACTGCGAGCAGCGAGCAGCGAGCAGGGACAGGCTGTGGGTGTGCTGGCGGCAGGTGCAGCACAGCCGAAGCTGGTCCTCACAGCCCTTTCCTAAGGCACAAGGTGTCCTGTCCCTGCCTCCTCCACATGGGGCCGCTGTGCACCCAGATTCTCCGTGTGTGTTCCTCTGGTCCTGGAGGGGAAACAGCCAGGCCTGTGCATGCTGGCCCGTCCGGAGGGCTGGGAGCCTGTGCTAACACCTGGGAAAAGCACCTGGGCTGCCAGGAGGGGCTGCGCCAGTGTCTGCAGGTGTGGGCTGGCGGGTTCCACAGGGCCAGGCAGGGCCCCCAGGGAGCAGGCACCCCATTCTACAGGTGCGGGGGTGCAGAGCGGGCTCAGGCGGGTCCAGCTCCTCTGGCCTCCACTAGGACCCCAGGGGGTTCCTCCCGGCCCTCTGCCCCCTTCCCGAGGCCCCTGCCCAGCCTCCCTCCACCTCCTAGGGATCAGAGGCCTCCCTGAGGCCTGCCCAGATCGTGCTCCAGGCTCCAGCCCCGCCTGAGCCGCCCAGCTCCCCACCTGTTCCCGCCCTGGAACCCTGTCCCAGGCTGGGCCCCTCCTGCCTCCACACTCGGCCCCATTGCCTTCAAAGTGTGGCCGCCTCACTCGGCCTGTGCGGCTCAGTGGCTGAGCATCATCCTGTGCACCAAGATATCACCATTCGACCCCCGGTCAGGGCACATGCCCAGGTTGCAGACTCATTCAAGAGGCAGCAATCAGCCTGGCTGGTTTGGCTCAGCGGTTAGAGCATTGGCCCGCAGACCAGAGAGACCCAGGTTCGGTTCCCACTAGGGGCATGTACCTTGGTTGCAGTTTGTTTCCTGGCCCTGGTTGGGTCATGTGGGTGGCAGCCACTCGATGTCTCTCTCACGTCGATGTTTCTCTCTCTCTTCCTCCCTCTCTCTCCCACTCTATCTGAAGATGAATGCAAAAATGTCCTCGGGTGAGGATTTAAAAAAAGGCAGCAATCAGTATTTCTCATCAATGTTTCTCTCTCCCTTTGTCTCTCTCTAAAGAAGAAAAATCAATAAAAATGTATTTTTTAAAAAAGCACAGCCATCTCCACCAGCCCCAGCAGACAGGGCCAGCACAGGCGGGCACCAGTGAGCAGTGTGGAATGAGGCCTTGTCTAGGGCACGTGTCTTGGCAACATGCTCACCCGTAGGCACCTGGGGCACCAGCTCCTTCTTGGGGGTCAAGTGTTTGTGTCTGTGGAGACACAGTGTCGACCTGCCCTGTGTTTCCACGGCGGGAGAGCTCTCGTTTGTTCAGCCCGCAGGCCCGGGGTCGTGAGGGTCCAGCTGCCCTGCCTGCTGTCTGACTCCCGCCCACCTGTCCCCAGGGTCCACACGGACGTGCAGCAGGTGCTCAGCCACCTCACCCACCCTCGCTTCACCTTCGTCCAGAGCGAGGCGGACGCCGACATCCTCTACAACTTCTCTCACTTCAAGGACTACAGGTGAGGCACCCCCAGCCGGGCACCCCAGCCAGCACCAGCCTCCGGCCCTGGGCCCCTCCCTGCAGCCCCTGAGCTGGTCCCACTGCTCGGCCATAGGAGGCTCAGCCAGGCACCCCCAGCCAGGCACCGGCCTCCGCCCCAAGCCCCTCGCTGCAGCCCCTGAGCTGGTCCCACTGCTCGCCATAGGAGGCTCAGCCAGGCACCCCCCAGCCAGGGACCCCCAGCCAGGCACCCTAGCCAGGCACCGGCCTCCGCCCCAAGCCCCTCGCTGCAGCCCCTGAGCTGGTCCCACTGCTCGCCATAGGAGGCTCAGCCAGGCACCCCCTAGCCAGGGACTCCCAGCCAGGCACTGGCCTCCGCCCCAAGCCCCTTGCTGCAGCCCCTGAGCTGGTCCCACTGCTCGGCCTTAGGAGGCTCAGCCAGGCACCCCCAGCCAGGCACTGGCCTCCGCCCCAAGCCCCTCGCTGCAGCCCCTGAGCTGGTCCCACTGCTCGGCCATAGGAGGCTCAGCCAGGCACCCCCCAGCCAGGCACCCCCAGCCAGGCACCGGCCTCCGCCCCAAGCCCCTTGCTGCAGCCCCTGAGCTGGTCCCACTGCTCAGCCTTAGGAGGCTCAGCCAGGCACCCCCAGCCAGGCACCGGCCTCCACCCCAAGCCCCTCGCTGCAGCCCCTGAGCTGGTCCCACTGCTCGGCCATAGGAGGCTCAGCCAGGCACCCCCAGCCAGGCACCCCCAGCCAGCACCAGCCTCCGCCCCAAGCCCCTCGCCGCAGCCCCTGAGCTGGTCCCACTGCTCGGCCATAGGAGGCTCAGCCAGGGACCCCCAGCCAGGCACCCCCAGCCAGGCACCCCCAGCCAGGCACCGGCCTCTGCCCCAAGCCCCTCGCTGCAGCCCCTGAGCTGGCCCCACTGCTCGGCCATAGGAGGCTCAGCCAGGAGAGGCCCCACGTGCTGCTGAACCAGTTCCCCTGCGAGAACCTGCTGACGGTGAAGGACTGCCTGGCCTCCATCGCGCGCCGGGCGGGGGGTCCCGAGGGCCCGGCCTGGCTGCCCCGAACCTTCAACCTGCGCACTGAGCTGCCCCAGTTTGTCAGCTACTTCCAGCAGCGGGAGAGCCGGTAAGCACCCCACCCCTGCCCCCAGGGGCCGTGCGGCTGAAACCCACCGCTGCTGCAGGGTCCAGGCCTCACCCCAGCAAAGCCCCTTGGCTCCAGCAGACCCCAAGTCCCCAAGGCCCAGCCTCTGACCTCTGCTGTGACTCCTCGCTCTGCCCCCGGGGCGGCTGGGTGTCCCCCCACTGCCAACTGCTGCCGAGGTCCTGGGGAGGTGTTTCCTGGGAGGGTGGCCCCCAGCACAGCACAGCTGGCCCTTCTCCCAGGGGCGAGGACAACCACTGGATCTGCAAGCCCTGGAACCTGGCGCGCAGCCTGGACACCCACATCACCAGGAGCCTGCACAGCGTCATCCGGCACCGCGAGAGCAGCCCCAAGGTGGGCCCCACGTGTGCAGGGTGCTCGGTGCACGGACTGTGGCTGGCCCCCCGGGGTGGGCGTGACTGGTGTCTAGGGCCTGTGCCAGCAGTGACGGGGTCGCCCAGCGCATAGGAGTCTGAAGCCGCAACCCCAGCCCTCCCGCGGCCTTGCCAGCAGGGGGCGCCGTGGCAGTCGGGTGAGAGGAGGGGGCCGCCTCGGAGCTGTGCCGGGATGTCTGACCTCAGTCCCCACACGCTGTCCTGCGACTGCCCGGGGGAGGGAAGTGGCCAGGCCAGGGGCCCCTGTGGCCCTGGATGGGGGGGCTGCAGTGGCACGGGCCCCTGGCGGGGACTGAGACAGGATCTTGGGGCGGGCAGCGGCCGGGGCAGCGTGCCAGGGGTGGTCACTGGAGGTTTCCAGCCGTGCACGCGGGTGCAGTGGGTTTAAGGCTGAGACTCTGTGTTCAGTTCCTGACACCTGACAACGGGTGGCATCCTTTCCTTCCCCTCGAGTAGAGGAGAGGAAACTGCCCCAGGCTAGACAGGGTTTGCAAAGCAGGGGAGGGAGAGCGCAGGGGGCGGGTCCCTCCAGGCCGCCAGGCGGAGGGGCTGCGGAGCTTGCCTGTCCCCCAGATGTGGGGACAGATGTGGGGACAGCGTTTGGCTGCACCCACGGCGGGCGAGGTCGGGCGCTCTCTCCCGGCCCAGGTGGGGGGAGCCTCCGTGAGCCTGCGTCCCCACCCTCCAGGTCGTGTCCAAGTACATCGAAAGTCCCGTCTTGTTCCTTCGAGAAGACGTGGGGAGGGTCAAGTTTGACATCCGCTACGTGGTGCTGCTGCGGTCGGTGAAGCCCCTGAGGCTGTTCGTGTACGACGTGTTCTGGCTGCGCTTCTCCAACCGGTAAGGAGACTGGGCGGCGGGGCGGGGCGGGGCGGGGCGGGGCGGGGCGGGGCGGGGCAGGTCCTCTCCTTCGGGCGGGGTGGGGCGGGGCGGGGCCTCTCCTGCTGGGGGCGGGGCAGGGCGGGGCCTCTCCGGGGGGCGGGGCGGTGGGGCGGGGCCTCTCCTAGGGATCCGCACCGGAGCTCCTCCCACAGGGGACCCCGGGCCCATCGCGCGGGGTGTGAGCGTTCCTTGAGAAGTAGGCACCCACACCTGTGGGTCACGGTGGCGCTTAGGGGCCTACGGGAGTCCCCACAGTGAGCCGTGACGGGCAGGGGGACTGGTGCCCTGCCTGCCCAGCCCACTCACGGTCTGCTTGCTCCTCCCGCAGGCCCTTCGCCCTCAACGACCTGGACGACTACGAGAAACATTTCACTGTCATGAACTACGACCCGGAAGTGGCGCTGAAGCAGGTAGGGGCCTGGCGGGGCCTGGCGAGCGGGTTCACGCAGACCCCGACCCACAGCCGTCAGCTGTCTGCTGGGCAGGCGGCGTAGACAGGGGCTGCTTTCTGGCGCCTGTCTCACCTGAGGAGCCCCTGCTGCTCTGAGGGGCACACACTGAGATAACTGGGGAGACCGAGGCTGCCCCAGGTCCCCAGCCCCGGGTCAGTCGGAGTGGAGCACGACTCCAGCCCGGAGGCCCTGCCTTCCATTCAGAACCTCCCGAGCACCAGGACAGGCAGGGGTGGGGAGGCACAGAGGTGCACGTCACAGGGCGCACGCCGGAGCGGGGGAAGGTGTGGGGGACCGTGCTGCTGGGCTGTGGCCCTGCCTGGTTTCTCTATCTGCCCTGCACCGTCTGGGCACCTGGAGCAAAGGGGCATTAGGGCAAAGCTCCTTTTGAGGTTAGTGCATCAGACCTCAGCTGGCCAGCAGTGTACCTGGGACAGGTGGGCACAGCCCAGGCAGAAGCAGGGGCCGGCTCTGGGCAGAGGAAGGGGGACAGGAGAACACCGCCCGATGCAGTCCCAAAAGTCCTCTCACCTGCTTCCTACCCTGCTGCCTACGTGCGCGCGTGCACACACACACACACACACACACACACACACAGCCTTGGATGGCTCCCCCGTCCCCGCCCCCCCAGCGGCTGCTCCCGACTGTAGAGGGGACATCATTCTGTCAGCAGGAGCGCGTCCCTAACCGAGTCGGGCGCCTGCTCTGCATGTTCAGGTTTTGTGGGAGCAGCATCCTGTTTCTTCGTCGCTGAGCCCCATGCTTTTAGGGTTGTCACTGTTGTGAGTGTAGCTGCCGCTCCTTCTTGCCTCACTTGTTAAAGACTTTGAGGTCATTTCTGGGCTCTCGCTGTTTATGGCCTCCTTCACTGGACGCTCGGGCCACCCGCTGCTCCAGGTCTGAGGAGTCCTCCGGGCGGCGCACCCCAGCAGGGCTACTGCTCCTTGTCCTGGGCTGTGGACGACAGGGCCCTAGGACCCTGAGCCCTCACTGGGCCCAGGACATGGACGTTGTCTCGGGGGGAACTGAGTGTCTCCCTCAGTATTGTGAACGTCACCCCGGGGGTCGTTGCTTCCGGGGCACCCCATGTTGGGACATGTCCAGGTGGGCGTGAGCGTTGGGCGTCCCCATCCTGGTCCTTTCTGAGAGAGACCTGAGCACTGCCAGTTTGCTCCGGTGCGTTGGGCAGAAACTCAGCCCGAGGAGACGCTGCTGCCCTCGGGCCCTGCAGACACGGTCCCAGGCCTGCCCCGGGGGACGTGGCGGCCCTGACCTCAGCCTGCTGAGCCCTTGGTGTTCAGTATCCCATCTGAGGCTCACAGCAGCCCTGCAGAGTAAGTCTGCTGGGCAGGGACCCTGTCCCATTTCACAGATGAAGACACTGAGGCTCCGAGTGGTGAACCTGCTTGTCTAGAGTCACAGAGATCAGAGCTCAGACGCAGGCTGCTGGTGCTCACAGGTGACCCCGGCGAGTGTCAGGCCCACGTCAAGGCAGGGCAGGTGTGATGGGCCCGGTTCTGTCGCAGGTTCACTACGATGAGTTCATCCCTGAGTTTGAGAAGCAGTACCCAGAGTTTCCCTGGAAGAGCGTCCAGGTAAGTCCTGCGTGGAGCTGGAGGTCAGGGCCTCTGTCGTGGGGAGGCTGCTTCCTCGGGGTGGTCCTGCTCCTCCTACCAAGGCTGTTGTGGGGGTGAGCTGGAGGGATATTCAGGGTACCCCTGGGACAGCCAGCCAGCCACAGGCCCTGCGGCCCCAGGAATTGCGAACCTGGAAACGGACTCTGCCGGAGGTGCAGGCTGGCCTTCACGCTGTGCAGGGAGCATTTCAGGTGCTCGGCTCACCTTGGTGGGGCTCCGAGGCAGTGCACACGACAGGTGAATGCCAGGCGTGTGGGAGCAGGAGTCAGGCAGAGGTGGCTTTGGCCAGGTCTGGAGCCAGGAAGGATGTAGAAGGAGGTGACTCAGGCCTTCTGGGGGCTGGGGGCTTGGGAACAGGCAGCAAACCCCACATCGAGAGGCTGCTCCGGGGGTCTGGTCCTGTCAGAGCCATGCAGGCCCCTGACCCGGCCTCCCCTGGTCCCCAGGCTGAGATCTTCCGGGCCTTCACGGAGCTGTTCCAGGTGGCGTGTGCTAAGCCGCCACCCCTGGGCCTCTGCAACTATCCCATGTCCCGGGCCGTGTACGCCATTGACCTCATGCTGAAGTGGGACAGCCGTCCAGATGGTGAGGAGGGCTCCCCATAATCCAGACACTCTCCCCACTTCCCCAAAGCTGATTGTCCAACGCCCCCCCCACCCCCCCACCCCGGGACAGAGAGGGCACGTCGCTGGCCAGTGCATCTGGGTTGTCCTTCATCTTCGTTAGCTGGCAGATCTGGGTCTGGGGGTGCCTCACCCTGAAGGACAGCGCAGACGGGATCAGCAAGCCAGCCGAGCTGGGCCCAGTGGCTCACGGGCTCTGGGGCTGGAGGCCCACTGGGCTTTCCCCTGGAGGAGCAGGCTCAGGAGGCCCCAGGGACCAGGAGACCCGAGCCCCGGCCCCCGGCCCGTCCTCCCAAGAGTAAGATGCCTGTGCTTTGTGCCGTTAGGGAAGCGAGTGATGCAGCCACAGATCCTGGAGGTGAACTTCAACCCGGACTGCGAGCGCGCCTGCCGGTACCACCCGACCTTCTTCAATGACGTCTTCAGCACCTTGTTCCTGGACGAGCCCAGCAGCTGCCACGTCACCCGCCTGGTGTAGGTGCCGGCCCTTCTGCCCCTGCTGCGGTGGATCCCAGCCTCCGACTCTGAGCTTCTGCAAAGTCCCCTCCCCACTCCCTCTGGGCACAGACCAGCCAGGTCCCAGCTTCACTGTGGGTCAGGAGCAGGGCTGGTCACACTGTCCCAGGCTGAGTGCAGGCCGCTGTCCCCTCCCCTCTGCACTGTCTGTGCGGTGATTGCCCTCAGCTCAGCCCAGGGCTTCACTGCTGAGGGTTTGGTTCCTGGGGTGTTAGCAAAGGAGGGATCCTGGGGAGTGTGCCGAGGTGTCCTCAGAAACAGGGTTCCCCATGAACGCCTGTGGGAACCCCAACATTAGCAGGGCCGGGCTGGCTCTCGTCCAGAATCTGCTCATGCATCGTGGCTCCTCCCCAAGGGCCCTGTGTGACAGGTGTCCCCAAAACATTTGGGGAACCTGCTTGCCACACCAGCCTTCTCACCCCACCCCCTCCCCCAGCTCCACCAGAACCGTCACCAGCAACCTGTGACTCCAGGACAGGGGGGCCTGCGCCTTCTGGGCCGCCGCCTTGCGGTCAGGCCTGGCAGCCCGTTCTGCTGGCCCCTGGCCTCCCCGGCACGGCCATGCTTCCGCCCTCTTCTGAGGTTGGGTGGCACTTTGGTGGGGGACTTGGGGTGAGGGAACCAGCGTGGGCAGCAGAGCGCCAGGCAGGGGGCGGCCTCGGGAGATGGTCCCACCCAGGACTTCACCTTCGCCAGATGCCGTCTCCCACCAAGTCTAGGGTCAGAGTATTGGGTTATTGTTACTCTTTCATTTATGGGAAGAAAATACAGAATTCTTGTTCTTAATGTTGTTTCTGAAATTTGGAATCAGATGGCAGCATATTGTGTAGCGACAGTGCACCCTGGCCCAGCTACCAAGGCGGTGGGCAGGGAGGGGGACTGCCCGCTGAGCTCTGCCATGTGTGTGTGCGTGCGTGCGTGCGTGCGTGCGTGCTGAGGGTGGGTAGAGCTTGTTTCATTCTGAAGCCAAGAGCAATCCTTGTAGCAAAACTGGACCAGATGCGCCTCCCCCGTGGGGTGCCTGTCCACCCTCTGTTGACCAGAGCCCAGCCCTTCCCTCCAGCCGGGTGGAGGTGTAGCAGGCGGGACACCTCATCTCTGGGTTCCTCCCCGGGAGAGCTGCTGGAGTCCTGTCCCCTCAACTGGATTTGTACTGCAATAAAGGATGCTTTCTGTACTTTGGCCTCGCTGTCTCGGGGGGCCCAGGGGCCACAGTCCTGGCAGGCTCTGTCCGCTGCTTTCCTTCTGTCCTTTTCCTCCTGAAGAAAACCGAACCACCGAGATGGAAGAAACGGGAAGTCGGGTGGTGTTCAGGACTAAGTCCCCGGCTTAGTCTGTCGGGCTGCCATAACAGCCATAGACTAGGTGGTTGAACCACAGAAACTTCTTGCTCAGTCCTAGAGGCTGGCGTGTCTCACGATCAAGGGGCGGCAGGTGTGTCTGACAGGCGATGAGGGTCCATGTCCTGGTTCATAGTGGTCATCTCTGTCCTGTGCAGAATGGATGAGGGAGCGCGTGGGGTCTCTTAGGAGGGCACTGATCCCACTCCAGAGGGCTCCCCCTTCGTGACCAAGTCACCCCCAACGGCCCACCTCCTGATGCCATCACGGGGGTTAGGATTTCAGCACATGAATCCGGGGGGACAAACAGATCAGGCCACAGCAGTTCCCTAACCCGAAGCTTGATTTCCTGGGGCTAGTTTCATTGCAGAACAGGAAGTGGAGGGGACAGATGTGCAGATGAGGCCCACCTAGCCCTCTGGATGCCCAGAACCTCAGTCCTCAGTGAGCTCTGAGTCTGCTGCAGCCCTTGCATCTGGGGCCTGGGCCTGGGCTCTCCGTGTCTGTTTCCTCATCCTGGGGATAGGCGATGGTCAGAGGGTCCTGCCAGCTGACGCAGAAGTGCCTGGTTGCCTCCGGCCAGCACAGTGATGCCCCCTGGTGGCTTTGGACGTTAAAACTGGAAGACAGCCCTGGCTGCTGTGGCTCAGTGGTTGGAGCGTCAGCCCTCACACTAAAGGGTCGCATGTGTGGGAGGCAACCAATCAGTGTTTCTCACATTGATGTTTCTCTCGCTCCCACTCCCTCCCTCCCGTCCACTGTCTCTAAAAAAAATCAATGGAAAAAATACCTTTGGGTGAGGATTAACAAAAACAGTAACCGGAGGGCAGAGGCCCCCACACACCCAGGCTGCCAGACCACAGGCGGGAGCTGCCCAGAGGGGCCTTCCTGTGGCCCCAGGATGTGCTCACACCAGGTTATTTATTCATCTAGGTGCCACGGTGTCTTCCTCCTCGCTCCAAGTTCACCTGAAACCTGATTGCCCAGGACACTCCGAGTACCCAGGGCAGAGCCACTAGGATCCCCATGACCCCTGGATTACAAACATGTCTCCCCCAATCTGGCACCTCTGATCAGTGCGGATCAGAGACCCTCCAAGGAGGCGTCATGCTGGGCCTCCACAGTCTGGGGCCAGACGGTTCTTAGCTTCTAAGCACATCTTTCTGGTACTCAGCTTCCCAAGTGGCTTTCTCCATGTTAAGCAAACCTTGACCGGTTTGGTTCAGCGGTTAGAGCGTCAGCCCGCAGACCAAAGGGTCATGGGTTTGATTCCAGTCATGGGCACGTACCGAGGTTGCAGGTTTGATCCTCAGCCCTGGTCAGGGTCATGTGGGAGGCAACCAATCGATCTCTCCGCACCCACCCCCCCCTTCCATTCTATCTAAAATCAATGAGGGTAAAAATATCCTCTGTGAGTATTAACCAAAAAAAAAAAATTTTTTTTTCATCAAAAGCCAGAATTTGTAAGTGGGAGGTGACTGGTCAGTCCCAGTAGCAGGATTAAATGCACCAAAGTTCTACAGGACAACACAGAAGAAACCCACGGGGTAAAGCTTGAGCTGCCACGTCCTCAGTGATGCTCTGTGGCGACACAAACACGCCCGACGTGGCAGCTCTCTCGTGGAGAGGCACGGACATAGGAGGACCTCAGAACAGGCGAGGCAGGACCTCCTCCCACCTGCTCGGCAAACCCCTCAGAGTCACGCTTCCTTCCGAAGACCTCCTGCCGAGCCCTCTGGGCCTGGGCGGCCTGGGCCTGCGTCCCCCGTGGCCAGGCAGCCGCAGAGGAGGCAAATGCTCAGATCCGAGCCCTCCCTCCACCGTGTGAAGCGGCTCCTGGGGAGACTGCAGCCCAGAGGACCTGATACATCTGTCCTGGGTTTTCCTGGCAAACCAGGGTGGAAATGGTCAGCCCCCCCGAGTCCCTGGTGGATGGTAACAGCTCAAAAGAGGAGAGAACGCTATGAAGACCGACGGAAGCCTCGCGAGACAGCCAGCAGACAAAACGGCAAAATGGCCCTGGCCAGTCTGGCTCAGCGGTTAGAGCGTCGGCCTGCGGTCCTGAGAGATCCGGGTTCGGTTCCCGCTAAGGGCATGTACCTCGGCTGCAGTTTGTCCCCGGCCCTGGTCGGTTGTGCGGGTGGCAGCCACTCGATGTGTCCCTTTCACGTCGATGGTGCTCTCTCTCTCTCTCCCTCCCACTCTACCTGAACAAAAAAATGGAAAAATGTCCTCGGGTGAGGATTAAAAAAAAAAAAAAAAACGGCAAAATGCCACCACCTCCACCCGTTTCTCCGGCACTTCTGTGGCTACGCATGGTCTGTAGCCAGAGGACGTATGTGGGGTGTCAGTAGCACTGGACAGACCCACGGGTGTGTGAATGGGCAAGAACAGTGCGCGTGCGCACCACTGAGACCCCAGCAGTCCCAGGGGCGCGTCAGACACATGGTGCCTACGGTGCCTGACTGTCGTGGACAACTTTAGAAGTCAGTAAGTAAAATGGAAGTGCCTCGAGCCCCCCCCCTCCCCGCTCTGAGCCTCAGAAAGCCCGTGTGGGGAGCAGGCCGAGGGCACGGGTAGGTGCTCCCAGCTGGGTCCCCGCAGACGATCCTGGGGATGTGGAAGCCCAGTGGAGCGACGTGTGGGCAGCTGAAGGGACAGCCCCTGAGCGCCGCTCCGATGGCCGTCAGCTGTCTCTGCTCATCCCCTGGGCTCTTCATAATTTGGGGTCATGTCTGAATGTGGAACCAGGAGGAGGACGAAGGAGGCAGGGCCGGAGCACAGAGACAGCCAGACTCCCGGCTGCTGAACCGGCTATGAGAACTCCAGGTACGACAGTGTGCAGATTCGAATGAACGTCTTCAACCAGGAACCAAACAGACCACAGGGGCTCAGCAGGCAGACCAGCCTCGGCCCAGGAGGCAGCAGGGCTGCTCCGCACAGGGCCCGGAGCCGGCGTCCCAACAGGAGCCTGCCTGCGTGCCAGGCCTCTGCCCAGCCTCACTCCACACGGCTGCCTGGAGAGGCAGTGGGTCTCCCTGCTTGAAGCCGGGGGTGACACCGCTAAACCTGGGCAGGCCTGGGCCAGCGAGGGGCTGCTGTCTGCTGGGCAGGGGGCTGGCCCATCCTGCTGATCAGGTGTTTGTGGGGTGCCCCAGGGCAGGGGCGCGGTGAGGCTGACAAGAGTTCTGGCACCCAAGGGGCAGGTCAGTTGGTGTCCCCAGCCCCATTCTGACTGGGGCCAACTGTAGGCACTGTCTTGGGCCCGGGCAGAGCCAGGAATTGGCCCAGGTGGAGTGTGGGCCGCACCCTTCCAGAGCCTGACTGGGCCCCTGGAGCCATGGAGGTGGACGGGCCCTCCTGCCAGCTGAAGCCCAAGGCCTGGGCCTGGGCCGGACCTGCCAGGCAGCAGCACAGCCCGTGTGGGCTCCGGTCACACCAGGGCCGCTCCACCCTGAGCAGGCTACCTCACCTCTTCCAGGGTCTTGGCAGGATCCCCAGCGGTGTGCAGGAGCCCTGGCCGGGTCCAGCCTCACCTGGATGACGCAGCCCAGACAGACCCAGCAGGAGGATCGGCCCTTCTTCTCCACCGAGACTGGGGTCCCACCCGAGAAAAAGGCCACGGCAGGTTAAAACTTTATTTGGCTTATAAAACCGCACGCTCCGAGCCCGAGCCCTGAGCAATGCCGAGAGTGAAGGGCACCGCTTCTGGGGTGCGGGCTCAGCCCGGAGCAGCTATGACGCTGGGGGTGGCCCCCTGGGCTGGGACCCAGACCGACTCACAGGTTTGGTGGCCACGAAAGTGTGAGGGCCACCACCAGGAGCAGGGCCTGTCTGGCAGCAGCCACGTCTTCGGAGGGTGGGGTACCTCATTCCGCAAGCCTTCGGCCACCACGCCGGCCAGGGTTGTCCCGCCAGATGCAGTAGTTGAGCATGACCCCAAAGGCCAGCCAGGCCAGGTATGGGTAGAGCAATCGAGCGGCCGAGGGGCTCACCCGGTGCCAGGCCACGGCGGTAGCTGTTGCCAACCCCCCCGTCAGCAGGATGTCCACCAGGGCCTGTGGAGACATGGAGGGGGCGGGGCGACAGGGAGGCCTGAGAGTCAAGGTGCCCACGAGGGTGCATGTCCCAGCTGCCCGCTCATCTGGAGCCCTGGAGCCGTCACTCCATTCCACCCCAAACCACCCGGCCAAGCCTCTCCCCAGTTCTTTGCCTCAGTTTCCCCATACATAAAATGGGAACACTGCCCTGGCCAGTTTGGCTCAGCGGTAGAGCGTCTGCCCAAGGACCAATGAATCGCAGGTTTGATTCCGGCCAAGGGCACGTACCTCGGTTGCAGTTCGTCCCCGGCCCTGGTGCGGGAGGCAGCCAATTGAGGTGTCACTCTCTCCTTCTCTCTACCCCCCCAACTCTGTCTGAAGATAAATGCAAAAAAATGTCCTCGGATGAAGATTAAAAATAAATAAATAAGTAAATAAATAAATGAATGAATAAATAAATAGATAAATAAAATGGGAACACTTGCCCCTCTTGACCCTCGCCATGCGTGGGGTGCGCAGCACCAGGTGCAGTGTGGGTTCTCCCACACAACGCCCCAGCATCCCCGCCCGGTTTCCGTCAGAGCCCCCGAGGCCCCTTCGCTGGCGGAGAAGCAGCCAGGGAGGCTCTGCAGGAGGGTTCTGCCCCCAGGAGCTTCCGAAGAGACGCTGATCCTGAGCTTCGTGCTGCCCTGCTCCAGCCCTGAGACCCTGATCCCGGCTGGGAGGTGATGCCCATGTCCCCGCCAAGGAGGCCCACCCCTCCATGGCCCATCTGCAGGCACCAGGGAGACACTTACCCAACCCATTTGTTGGCTGCCAAAGAAGATGGGAGGCCATGCCCAGTTCAGGGTCAGCTGCCCAGCGTAGAGGCCCAGGGGAACCACAGCCTCCTCCGAGAAGCCCCCCAGCTCTTTCCAGACCAGGTAGGAGCCGTATCTGAAACAGAGGCCACCGTCAGGGCACCAGTGGGAAAGAGGCCAGGAGCCTCCCTACAGGGCAGGGAGCCACGCTCACCTCTGCGATGACAGAGTGGCGGCTCAGGCATGTCCTGCCACTGACTGCTGTGTGACCTCAGGGAAGTTGTCTGACCTCTCTGGGCCTTCATTTCTCAAAGGGTCGCTGTGGGGAATCAAGTGAATACACTGGTGGCACTCAGGACGGTGCCTGGCGCACAGGGCACTCAGTGAGTATTGACCATGATTATCCTTATCGATGCTGTGAAGGAAGCACATGAGGCTTCTAACCCAGTCAGGGCACTGCACAGAGTGATGGGACATTTGGACTGGGCCTTACAGGATGAGTAGGAGTTTACCAAGGGGCGTTAACAAGGATGTGCCAAGGCTTAGCGGCATGTGTGAGACCCTGAGTCAGCCCCCACGACTGCAGATTGAGGTCTTGGGGGTGCCAGAGAGGTGAAGCTGAAGAGGCAAATGGGGACCTGGTCATGGGGACCCTTAAGCCTCAAGTGCTCTATAACATCACCAATCATAAAGCTGATGCCCTCAACACTTACACACCCCAGGCACCGCTCTAGCTCCTTCCAACCAGTAACTGATTTCATCCTCACGACAGCGCTATGAGATGGGCAGGATTATCACCCCGTTTTACAGTGAGGAGGCTGAGGCGCAGGGAGGTGAAATGTCTCAGATCTCTTATCAGGCCATCGGCAGGGAGAGTGAGGATTTGAACTCGGGTGCCCAGGGCCAGAGCCTGGGCTCTTCACTCTGAGAGGTTTGACCTAGGAGAACCTCCGCAGGGCTGCCGGAGAGACGGGGCCACGCTTGTGCTGTCGGGATCTCCACGGCGGCGGAAGGCCAAGGAGGACTGCAGAGGCCTGGGGGCTAGGGCAAGTTGAAGCAGAAACAAGGCTTCGGGGCCAGGACTGGGGAGGAGAAAGCAGGATGCAGGGAGTGTGCTGGGAGCCTAACTGGGCTGCCAAGGAACATTCCAGAAGGTGGAACCATTAGCCCCACCCCCGCACACAGTCCTTCCTGTCACCACAGCGATTCCCGGAGCCAGTCCGGGGGTCCCCATGCTCTAGCCCGGGCACCCAACGACGCTCAGCAAATGGAAGCTGCTGTGACTGCTGCTGTGACTGCCATCTACCTCGGACGCACTCCTGCTGCCCACGGCTGCACTTTGCACACCGATTCCGTCTTACCCTGGAGTTGTGAAAACAGCCAGGACGCCAGCGCGGGGTTGAGCCATCGGGCCCCCCTCCCCGGAGGCCTCGGAGGGGAAAGGTTGGTGACGAAATGGACAGTCCCCACAGCTCTCTCCACCCTCGCTTGGCAAATGAGGCCCAGAAATGGTGCCGGCTGCCCACGGGGCACCGGACAGTTCAAACCCTGCAGGGGCCGCCCGCCTCGGGCCTGGGCCTCTGTCCGGGAGGACGGACGGGCCACCTACCCCATGGCCGAGTAGAGAGTGCCCCAGATGGGGCCGAGCGTCCAGCGGGGCGGGTGCCAGGAGGGCTTCTGCAGGCTGGCGTACCAGCGCAGGCCCTCTCCGCGGACGTGGTAGGAGCCGAGGAAGGCCCCCAGGCTGGGTGCCAGTGTGAAGCCCACGGCGGGCACCCAGGGCGGGGCCATCGCTTCTGGCTGTTGTTCTCGAAGCTCTGAAAGAGAAGACGGGGCTGAGGCCTCCGAGCACGGCCCACGGACCTGCTGTGCACAGACCAGGCTCAGGCCCACCGGCCCCCTCGGCGGCACCGAAAGCCCTGGGTGACCTGTTACCAGCCCCCCGCCCCTCATCAATCGCTCGGGAAGGAAGGGGAGGTGTGGAAGAGATGAGCGAGGCAGGCAGGAGCCCTACCACCCCGCCGCAGGGCTCCCGTCAACACCTTCCCAGTCAGACTCCCGCCCTACACCCAGAGGGCTGCCCGGACCGCACTGTCGGCCCCTCAGCTCCTGCCCCGGCGGCCAGGGTCCTGCGCTCTCGCCCTCAGCCTTGACCTTGGGGCCCTGACAAGTGAGCCCTCCTCTCTGCCACCTCACTCAGCCCACCGACCAGGCTTCCCAGCCTTTCCCTCCAGGCCACACGCCAGCCTGGGGCTCTGGGAGGCCTGTGTCAGTCCACGCCTGTGCTTTAGGTGCTAGTACTTCTCAGTCACGCATTCATTCATCAGGCAACTGGTAGCAGACAGCTTGGCTCCCATCCTGGCTCCCCACTGACTCGCTGTGACCTCAAGCAAATCACCTCAACTCTGGGCTGGCCTCAGTTTTTCCTTCTGTAGAATGGGACATCAACCTGATCCACCTGGGCCCAGCCCGGTGTGGAGACTGTGTACACAGGTGATTCACCCCTGCCCCACAGGCCCACCCTAAAATCACCTTCCCTTCCCGAATGTCAGAGAGGGAAAGCAGCCTGCCTGGGGTCACACAGCTCTCTGGGGCCAAGCTTGGCCTGGGTTGAAAACCTGCTCCTGCCTTGACACCCAGGGCCACTGAGGTGGTGAGTGGGACGGGGCAGGAGTTAGCGAGTTCAAGGCTGGAGACGTCCCCTCAGCAGCACTGGGAGGCTGGCAGGGCTCAGGGTAAAGAAGACCTCTGTCTCAGGCCTGGAAGCGGCCACCCCCAAAACTGGAGACCAGGCACCAGGCCTCTCCATTACGCTCACTGGCCATGCCCCCTTGCCCAGCAGCCCCAAGCACTGCACTGAGGACCTTCTAGGTGCCCAGCAGCGTGCCATGCTCCTGGCAAGCTGAGATATTCATTGGGGCTGAGTCCAGAGAGACAGTAGGGGGTGGGGAGCACAGGCTGGGTATCTGGGGGCAGCTCAACCGGGACCTGCTGAGGAGCCATCAGCCCGCCAGCACCCCTGACTAAGCTTCCGCTTCCCCATTATAAAATGAGGGGCTGAGCTCCCACTGACACACTCTGACCCTAGCTGGAGAATCTAGGGGTGTCTGTTTGCATAAGATAAGAAGCCACACACTGGATTCAGTTCAATAAACTTACATCATAGCCTGCTAGGGTGGGGGCTGGGGATCCAGGTGGACGAAGCAGGGCAGGTCCTGAAAGGGGCACAGTCCTCCCAGAGGGGCACCCTGACCTGGCATCTGAGGATGATGACGCTGGAAGGACCGCAAGCACTTTCTCCACAACTCTAACCACTGAGCCAAGCCGGCCAGGGCGTGAGCACTGTTTTCAAAGGGACAGTCAGGGTGCTGAGCCCTGCCACTCAGTGACTGGGGTTCCTCCCTCCCTGGGCCTCGGTTTTCTCGCCCGTTGAGTGGGGACAGTTTCCCCCTGATCACTGCACCAGTGAACACTGCCAAGGGCTGGGCACGTGCCACAGGGGTTCCTGGGCTCCTGAGAAAAACCTCAGACCACCCCACGAGGGAGGGACGTTTTTCAAAATAACTGACCGGTACTCCGGCACTCTTCAAACGTGCCGAGGTCGTGACAGACCAGAAGGACCGAGGAGAAAGTCAGTGCAGGAGACTAAGGAAAGACAACTGAGGGATCCCCATGGGGCCCCGAGACAGACGAAACACATTGGCGGGAACACGGAAGGTTCGAGCCAGGTCTGTGGTTACTGGCAGCGTGTTCACTTCCTGGCTTTGGCCCTGGCACCAGAAGGGGAGGCTGGCTGAAGGGCACGTGAGAGCTCTCTGTATACTTTTGTAACTTTTCATAACTTCTCTGTAAGTCACCACCTCCAGCCCTGGCCCGGTCGCACCTGCCTTCCCCGCCCCAGGACCACTTCCTCCACGTCCCCCCGGCTCCGGCAGCCATGGCTCCCTTACAGCGTTTCCCTGGGTGGGTTGTTTTTTTTTTTTCAAATTGAGGCAAAATTCATAAAATGTGAAATTAACCATTTTAAAGTGCACACTTCAATGGCATTGAGTACACGCCCACTGTTGTGTAACCACCCGCACCCTCAAGTTCTAAAACAGTTCATCACCCCAAAAGAGCCCCTGGACCCCTAGCAGCGACTCCTCACTCCCCTCACCCTCTGCCCCTGGGAACCATGGGCTTTCGGCCTCCATGCAACTACCCTTCCTGATGTGGATGTAAAAGGAATCCTACAACATGTGGCCTTTGGCCCTGGGCGGTTGCTCAGTGGTTAGAGCGTCGGCCCGCAGACCAAAGAATTGCGGGTTCGATTCCGGCCAAGGGCACGTACCTCGGTTGCAGTTCATCCCCAGCCCTGGTCAGGGTCGTGCGGGAGGCAGCCAGTCGATGTGTCCCTTTCACGTCGATGTTTCTCTCTCTCTCCCTCTCTCCTCTCTCTCTCTTTCCCCCACTCTATCTGAAGATAAAAATGGAAAAAAGTATACTTGGGTGAGGATTTAAAAAAATAAAAAGGCTAAGAGTTAAAAAAAAATATATATGTATATATATATATATATATATACACACACACACACACACACATACACACACACATACATACATACATAGCCTTTGGGGTCTGGCTTCTTGTGTTGAACATAACATTTTCAAGGGTCACCCACAATGCACCCTGGTCCATACTTCTCCCCAAGGTTTTGTGGGTGGGGGTGTTCATGTCACCCTGACATAGCCCCCAGCAAGTGCCTAAGAAACCCTGATACAGCTGACCTGGTCCTAGAGCCCACCATCCAAGCCCTCACTGTGCAGAGCAGAGGCCTGTGGGGGGTGGCCTCCCTCTGGCTGAAGTGACAGGGTAGGGTGTGAGCAGGGTGCTCCTGTGCCCATCCCAGGCTGCCCCTTCGAGGGCCTGGCTGTGTTTATGTTCCACTGGGCCTAGGGGATCAGAGGATCTGAGGGTCCGAGGGTCAGAAAACAGGGAGGCCAGATGCCCTAGGTGGAGAGGGCCGGGCAGAGAGTGTCCTGGGCCTCCCGGGGACTGCTTGGCTCCCCCAGCTGAGGCGTGGTGGGCCCGGCTCAGCAGGTCAGCTGGACCAGGCAGGCTTGAGAGAGATCCACTCTGGAAGGGGACCCCAGGGGGGCCAGGAAACGCCCATGATCAGGAGGGGACTTCAGACAGACAGAGGGGCACAGCCACCACCCTTATTTCTCTCTCAGTCAGAAGGTGACTAAGAACCCAAACCGTGACCCCACGCCCAAGCCCCTCTCTGGGCCTCAGTTTCCTCCTGTGGCAAGTGGATACAACCTGGCTTGCCTGCTTCATGGGGTCATGGGGAGGCTCTAGTGAAAACCAGACAAGTGAGGGGCTGTGGGCAGGAGTGTTGGGGGTCACTCGCCCCATTTCCTCCATGGAGCAGACCCAAGGCTGAGAACACATCAGCTGGCCAGCCGCCCAGGTGAAAATGCTCCCTGCGGCCGAGAAGGCTCAGGACCTGGGGCCCAGAGAAGGTCCAGGCCTCTGGGAACAACCAGCAGGCACGGTGCTGCTGGGGGGCGCTGCGGCCAGGCGGGGCTCATCACCTGTCTGCTCTTCACGGCAGCCGCAGGGGAGGGGACCAGCGGCCTCCCTTCTCCCAGCCGAGCACACGGCCCTCTTGGCCTCCATGATGGACTCAGGACTATTCCCACGGTCCAGAAGAGGAAACTGAGGCACAGGGAATCAGAACTTTCTGGGTCTGTATAACTCTGAGGCCAACGATTCCACTCCCGCCCCTGAGCTGGGAGTCTGCTGGCCACTCGAACGGCTGTGTCCCGCCCCTCTCGGCCTCCTTCCTCAACCCAACGCGCGCTGGGGCCTTTCTCCCCCCTCAGCTGCTCCGCCCGCTGACCAGTGCCAGAAGGTTCTCAGACCCAGCAGCCTCCCTCTTTCCAGCCCCAAGGCCAGTGTGCCAACCCCCACAGAGCAGATACAGGACCCGAACCTTCCCTGACCCGGCCTGGCCCTCGGGGCCTCCCACCCTTGTGATGCTTCACTCCGGGCCTGGGGCCACGCCTCCCCAGCCTGTGTCCCCATCTGTTAAGTGAGGCTGAACCAGTGGGTCTCTGGGGGATCCTCTGGTTCTCTGTGGCCTCCCTATAGGTGACCCTCCCTACGGAAGGTGACAAAACTACCCAGAAATAGCACAAAGGGTTTGTCCTTTCTCTGGCCCCTCCCACCCCAGCTCACCCACTCTCCCAGCCTTATCTCCCTAGAAGCCTCCATTGTCCCAGGGACTTGTTTCTTGTTATTTTCTTAAAGGACTGGCAGCTAATCCCCTCATTATAACCTCCGTGCAGCTTTCCACTGTGACAGTGTCCAGGGGAACAGACAACAGGCCCGGAAGGGTCCAGAGCCCGCTGGTGATGCCGGAGGTCTGGGCTGGGACCACAGGGGGAATTTGCTTTGTGGGACATGACTACTGTAAACACAGAGCACATCCAGGCATTGCTTGCACAGTCAAAAATAAGGAAAAGAAAATACAAATTTTAAAATCCCAGATTCAAAAATAATGAAAAGGCAAAAGTGTACGTAGTAGCCCTGGCCGGTTTGGCTTCAGCGGTTGGAGCGTCGGCCTGCGGTCCGGAGAGACCCGAGTTCGGTTCCCACTAAGGGCACATACCTCAGTTGCAGTTTGTCCCCGGCCCTGGTTGGGTCGTGTGGGTGGCAACCACTCGATGTGTCCCTTTCATGTCAATGTTTCTCTCTCTCTCTCTCCCTCCCACTCTATCTGAACAAAATATCGAAAAAACGTCCTCGGGTGAGAATTAAAAAAAAAAAATGTACGCAGTAAAAAGTAGGCTCTTTCCCTGAGCCCCTCACCCACCCCCCAGGCACCCACTGGGAGGCTTTGGGAACAGATCCCACTGGTCCAAAGCCCAGCTCCACCACTGCAGCTCTGACCTTGGACAGTGGTTCCTAAGGGAGCCTCAGTTTCCTCCTTGGGGGCTCCCTCTAGGGGTGCGGAGCAGCCATCTGGAGACTGAGGAAGGGCAGCCTGCCTCCCTGCTTCACAGAAAGGAGCTGATGCCTGTCTCCTGCGGCCCTGCGGGGGCCCTCGGGCCACATCCCCCGCTCAGGGGGAGGCCTGCTTGCTGTGCGGCTGTTTCTTGGACACCGCCTCCTCTGACATCCGTCCCTGCCGGACCCTTTTGGAACAGCCTCAGCACCCTGTCCCTAGCAGCGGCTCAACACAGTACCAACATGCCTCTCAGGCCAGCGGGGGAGGGTCCCAGCCCAGAACAGCCTCTGCCAGGCCAGCCAGCACTCAGCGTTCAAGGCTGAAGCCCCCTACCCTTCCCACCTGGGCTTCTCTGGGCGTTCCCTCCAGGGCAGGTGCGCATAGGTACAGGTGGGTCGCACACCAGGCCCCGGCTCACCTGAACGCCGGAATGGGAACTAGGGGGCAGGTTCTAAGGCTCCCTACGAGTCTTATCCGGCTTTGGGCGAAACCTCCCCAGTCCGGCCGGGGTTTCCTCCCCCTCCTAGAAATGGGGTGTTTCAAGTGGATCAGGCAACCGATGTTTCTGTCACGCCCACCCTCCCCGCCCAGGCTTACTCATCCCTGCTGTGGGCGGAAGAGGGGGTGTCTGCCCCTCCCCGGGGCTCCGCTTCCCGCGGGGACCTGCGGCGGGCTGGGCGAAATGGGGCGGAGGGGGAATGGGCGGGGCTGCCCAGGCCCCCCCACCCCGGCGCGGTCTCCCCGTCTCCCACCCGAATCTGCCTGCACCGGCGGACCGACCGGGCAGCCAAGTTCCCAGTGCAGCCCCGCGGCCGCCCCTCGGGTCTCCACCCCGGGACCCCGCCCGCCACCTCCGGCCTCAGTTTCCCCTCGGGCCGCGCGCCGGCGCTGTCCCGATCCCACCCTCGCGTGGCCCCTTGCTCGCAGTTTCCTCGGCGCCCGGTCCCCGCTCACCAGCGACGAGGACTCGCTCCGGGAAGGGCACTGCGCAGCGGGAAGTGGCACCCGAAGTCCCGGGCCGCCCCGCCCCGGCCCAAGGCCCCGCCCGGCCCCGCCCGCTAGGCTGGAAGCCCGACCGCCGCCCACTGCTTGCCCGCGGGCCCGGGAGCTCACTCCTCCCCGTGGCGCTGCCAGGAGACCTGCTCCTGCCTTCCCGCGGCCGGCAGGTCTCCCGGCAGGTCTCCCGGCGCTCCGGCTCCCCACGGGGCCGCCGCGACGCAGCTGTGCCCGCTGGAAGGCCGCTCCTCTTGGGCCTCGCTTCTCCCATCTGCAAAATAGGTCAGCAGAGACGGAGCTCACAGAGGGGAATTGCATCGCTCGATGACAAAACCTG